TCTTCACTTTCAGCAAGCAAGGTTGTATCATTTGTATATCGCAGGTTGTTAATGAGTCTTCCTCCAATCCTGATGCCACGTTTTTCTTCATAGAACCCAGCTTCTTGGATTATTTGCTCAGCATACAGGTTGAACGAATATGGTGAAAGAATACAACCTTGTCGCATACTTAATTTTAAACCATTCAGTGTTCCCGTGTTCTGTTCAAACAACAGCCTATTGGTCCATGTACAGATTCCTCCTGAGCACAATCAAGTGTTCAGGAAATCCTCATACTTTGTAATGTTGACCATAGCTTGTAATGATCCACACAATTGAAAGCCTTTGTGCAGTCAATAAAGCACAGGTAAACATCTTTCTGATATTCTCTGCTTTCAGCCAAGATCCATCGGACATCAGCAATGATATCCCTCGTTCCACGGCCTCTTCTGAATCTGGCTAGAACCTCTGGAAGTTCTCTGTCAATGTATGCTTGTAGCCATTTCTGTATTACTTTTAGTAAAACTTTGCTCACATGGGACATCAAAGATATTGTCTGATGATTTCTGCATTCCGTTGGGTCACCTCTCTTTTGAATGGGCACAAATATGAATTTCTTCCAATCAGTTGACCAGATAGTTGTCTTACAAATTTCTTGGCATAGATGAATGAGTGCCTCCTGTGCTGCCTCACTTTCTTGAAAGATTTCCATTTTTATTCCATTAATTCCTGGTGCCTTGTTCTTTGCTAGTTTCTTCAATGCACCTTGGACTTCTTTCTTCAGTATCATTGGCTTTTGATTATATGCTACCTCTTGAAATGGTTGAACATCAACCATTTCCTTTTGGTTTAGTGACTCTGTGTATTCCTTCTGTATTCTTTTGATGCTTTCTGCATCATTCAATAATTTCACCAGAATTCCTTCAATAACCAAAGTCGAGTTTTCAACTGTTTTTTTCGGTTCCCCCAGCTTCAGAAATGCTGAGTGTGTTCTTCCTCTTTGGTTTTCTGACTCCAGATCTTTGCACATTTTGTTATAATATTTGGCTTTGTATTCTCGAGCTGATCTTTGAAATTTTCTGTTCAGCTCTTGGACCTCCTCATTTCTTCCATTTGCTTTAGCATCTCTATTCTGGAGAGCAAGTTTCAGTGTCTCTTCTGACATCCATTTTGACCTTTTCCTTCTTTCTTGTCTTCTTAATGACTTTTTGTATTCTTCATATATGATGTTCTTGATGTCATCCCACAACTCTTCTGGCCTTCAGTCTTTAGTGTTTAATGTATCAAATCTGTTCTTCAGATGATCTCTAAATTCAGTGTGGGAAGCCTGAGAGTTGGCTTTGACTTTTGAGCTTGTGAGGAAGGACACAGGAGAAAACACTGTGAATAGGGCAAGGGTGAAGACCAGGGAGGCACAGGAGGAGAACAGAAAGGCCTAGGGATGTGTGGTTTACCAAAGGCATTCATATAGCAAGATGAGGTGCTCATATAACGACCATGTCTTTGTCTCAGTCACAGAGTTCGTTGGCTTGAGTTACAGGAGGACAGTGGCCATCTTGTACCAGGCAGCCTTCACGGTGGGCCTGCTGCTGCTTACAGGCATTGCCTACATTCTGCCCCACTGGCGCTGGCTCCAACTGACCGTCTCCCTGCCCACCTTCCTCTTTGCCCTCTACTACTGGTGAGTGTTTTCTCCCCCGGGAAGGAGAGGACTTTTCTCTGCCTCAAAGGATTCCCCCTTACAGACACACTCAGTTTAGCTCAGTGACTGTGAAAGGGCCTCTCTCTCACAGGTGTCTCAGGACTCAGGCTCCATGGTGCCAAGTAGGTTCTTCCAACGTCATTGTAGAGACCTCGTATGGTGTTAACAGTGAACACAGTTGGGTACTAACTAAAAAATTGGAAGTTTGGGTCCACTCAGAGGCACCTCAGAAAAATGAGTGAATGGAAGATGGATGGCTGGAGGGGTGGAAGGAAGGGCTGCTCAGTTGGAATATGTGTACATGAATTCATTACAAAACTAAGCCAACCTAGCTGAGGTGGTAATCCAATCAGCAGCCAACACTTGGCAGGGTTGAGGGCTTAAACAAGCTGACAGAGAAGCTCTGATTGTAGTTGGATGAGGGAGCAGGAGGGTTGTGTGGCGAGCCAGTCACTCATGGGTTTTCTGTTCCCAGCCTTGTCTGCTGGTCAGTTTGTGGCCCACCAGCTGTCTCAAATCACACAGGACACTGAGCTGAGGGTTCCACCTTCCTCTAATCAGTGTAAACAATGGGATCCAGGGATACAGGACCCCCACACCCCATCCTGATGATCTGGGTAGGTGAGAGAGACCCCTTGTACCTGAGATTCACAACCTCTGCTCTATGACGTCCTTACCTATTTGAAACAGAGGGTGGTCTCTGCCTGATTTTAAAGGACAGGGACTGTTTTTGTTCTATGTTAAAAACAGTTAAGAATGGGCAGTGGAATTAAGAGGAGATACCCCATAATAAAGTAGGGTGGAAGTTAGCTGGGTCAAACATTGCATGAGAATATTTTCCCAATGGGAGGAGCATTGTTGGCTTCCAGAAAGAACAGGGGGGCCCTCTCTCCAAGATGAGGGCTGCACTCAAGATGAGGGCTGCACTCAAGATGAGGGCTGCTTAGGAAGCAGGGTTCCCCTTCTGTCTTTTAACTTCAGGGGGGGATCTTTTACTGAGGACTGACCCCCCCTGTTCCTGCATCGGGAGCGCCTGTGTGGGCCCATGCTTCAAAGCAGACTCCTTCTGGGAACCATGCCAAGCCATGACTGTGTCTGCAGGTGTGTGCCTGAGTCTCCACGCTGGCTACTGTCTCAGAAGAGGGACCAGCAGGCAGCCAGGATAATGAGCCTCATTGCCCAGAAGAATGGGAGACTGCCTCCTGCTGATTTCAAGGTGACAACCGCTGACTGAAAGGGGTTCCCACATCCTGTCAAGGCAATCCCCAAATGTTCCTTTGGGTTGGTGATTTCAGAAGAGTCCCTGGGAAGTGTAAATGGTGACTGCAGGTTGGCCGTTCTAGTCTACAGAGAGGGGCTTTAGTAGCAGGGTCTCGTGATCCAATTCCAAACAATCAGCCCTTGAAACTCCTGTGGAGTGCAGTTCTACTCTGTGAGTACTCCATGGTTCTGTTTTAGGAAATGGCTTCTTGGAGTGGTGTAAACAAACAAAACAAATGACACCAAGTACCCTTCCCACAGCCTTCTCTATTCAGCTGGGTTCATTAATTCATTGCAATGGCCACATACAACTCAGACACCAGACTCATAGTGATGGGGTTTCCTAGGTTACAGTTCAGGATTAGAAATGCTCAGGACACCGTTTTTCCAGTCAGAACAGCTTCTCCTCACACATGCCCAGAGGCAGGCCTCTCTCTGTCAGGGCAATGCTACATAGCTCTTACAGATCTGCTGATAAATGCTCACAGGGCACATCACTCCAACATAAGCCTCAGCCTGAAGGCACTTGACTCTAAATCTGTAGGTCAGCAAACCTAGCTCCCCCAACTAAGTCCCCAGAGACACCCTACTCTGCAAGCAAGCCTTCTGTCCAAAGCCACTCAGCTTAACATGCTCTGTGGGCTGGGAAATGCACCACTTTGCTTTGTGCTCTGGTTCTTGGTTCTGCTATTTTTCCGCTGCTCCTGCCCATGTGTCACAGCTTTCTGTCCACGGGTAGAGAAGGTTCAATGTGCAGGGGCCTCTGGATCCAAAGAACACACTCCACTCCTGATAGTTCTTTGATGGTAGTGAAATGTCCCCTTCTGCTTCTGAAGTGGCTCATTTTATATGCATGATACAGTTCCAAGTTTTTTACAATCGCAATGTACTGTTAATAATTACAATGGAATAATATCATCCTATCAGCATCTCCTGCCACCTTCTCTTGCCCAGCCGCATTAGGAAAAAGTCAATTGGCAAAGACTATGGCTAGCAGAGACATGAAGTGATTCACTTCACAAGACACCACAGGTGGTCTCCTGTCCCTGCAGTTCTGGTAGGGTTGACGCTCTCACTCTCCTCAGATGCTCTCCCTTGAAGAGAACTTCACTGAGAAGCTGAACCCCTCCTTCGCAGACCTGTTCCGCACGCCGTGCCTGAGGAAGCACACCTTCATCTTGCTGTACCTGTGGTGAGGCTCACCCCCACACAGCAGGGATGGTAGCCCAACTCTCCCGGAAGGAGAGAGAATGAGATGGAATTGTCAAAGTTTCTGAGTATTCAAAAAGAAGCACTGGTGACTAACCGAAAGCCACTTCATGGGGCAAAGCTGAAACAGTCTGTTTCTGTAAAGATTTCAGCCTTGGAAACCCTATGAGGGCTGCTCTCCTCTATGCCTATACAGTTACTAGGAGTTGACACCAAGAGCTAAAAGAGCTCCTAAAATGACATTCTTATTTCTCCCTGAAGAATTGAATCTTGGGGAAAGGCTTCATTTTAATAAGGAGGATTTTCTAGGTTTGAAAATCCTAAAGACTTCCAAGATCCCTCAGGTTCTACCAGTCTCATGTTTTGGGAATAGCAAGCCTTAACTTCAGGTCAGACATGGCTGAGATTGCAGTGGCTCCCAGGAACTTTGAGACTGAAGACGGTTTTTCATGAACTTGAGAATAGTGTGCTTTCTACCCGTATACATTTCTATGGTTAGAAAATCCATATACACCCCTGGACCCACCCACAGCCCCCAGGAATCTGTATCCCCTGGGGGAGCAAGCCCCTCTCTCTGCCTGGTTTGCCTTCAGGGGACAGAGTCTCTCACCCCTATTTCCTCCCAGTGGTAGTAAGGTTCAGTCCATCTGCATAAATCCTGTGGCTTTAAGATTGCCCTCCCCACCTCCAGTGCAGAGCACCTGGGCTCTGGGGCTCCCCTCCCCCTGCTTGTTTATACTTCTAGGTAAACCTTTTACTGGAACAGTGTTTAAACCAGTAAAGCAGTGGCTGGCACGTAGTAGATGTTTAATAAATATTTGTTGAGGGTTGAATGAATAACCACTGATCTACAGAATCCATCCCATCCTCTTCAGCACACCTGGCTCACCCTAACCTATCCTTCCCTCAACGTTCAACAACCCACAGCTTGCTCCCTGTGCCTGAGTCTCCCACCCCAGCTACTTGGTTGCACCTTTTTGAATAGATCCCCATGTACCCCTGGCATGTGTCTGGTGGATGTCTCTACTGATACTCACTTTTCTGTTGTCTTTCATATAGTGGTCTTGTACCACTGCAGAGAGAAAGAATGACTCCTTGTTTTATCTTGGGAGTCCTTGAGTGGGAGGATGGAGATTTGAGTCCACCCAGAGTTTTCTCAGAAGAAAGGTCTGGTGATCTATTTCTGAATACCAGTCACTGGAAGCCATATGGAGCACACGGGAGTACTATGAGTTAGCCGACACCATGGCCACTGGTGATGCTCCCATAATGCCTGGCTATGCCCTCCCCCAAAGTGGTTCTTGGTGGCACCTGGACTCCTGTGTTGTCACACTCACTCCCCCCAGGTCTGTCTTGCCAGACAAAGAGGGCTTTGTTGTTGCTAAGTGCTGTGAAGTCAGTTCCAACTAATAGTGACCCTGTATAGGGCTTCTGAGCATTTAAATATTTGTGGAAGTAGAAAGCCCCATCTTTCTCCTGAAGGGCGGCAAGTGGATTTGAACCTCCTACCTTGTGGTTCCAACTCCAGTTTCTCCTATGGAGCCACTGTGTTCTCTAAGGTTGACTTCATTGCTGTTAAGTGCCCTCTATTGGAAGGAGAGGGGAATAATGAGACCAGTCAGCTGGGACAAAGAAGTGATTTTTAAAAGGAAGTCCAGAGGAAGGGGTGTTTGTAGTTAGGGATCCTTTGACTGGAGAAACTTACTTCTTTTGTGGCAAGGCCTCCTGAGAGGACCAGGGAGGGAAGATGTGGGGTTCTTGGGTGAGGGGTCTGGTGAGTATAAAGACTGAAGGAAGGCTGGTCAGGAGAGAAAGCAGGAGCAGGACCACTGATGTTTCTTTAAAGAGTGGTGGTCATTCAGCCACACTTGGTCTATGGTCTCTGCAGCCAAATGGTAGACGGATTTCTTTCACTGGTGGCACTCTCCCAAGATCACTGCTGCTCTTGTTCCTGCTTCAGACTTAACTGACTCACGGCACCCCAATGTATACAGAGTAGGCTTGTTGGGAGTTTTTTTCCCAAGGTACCTCTGGGTCAGCTTGAACTGCCAACTTGTCAGTAGTCAAGAGCTTGACTGTTTCTGCCACCCAGGGACTTCCCAGAATCATGTTGCTGTTGTTATGTGTTGTCAAGTCAGTTCTGACTCATGGTGACTGTGGACAACAGAACCAAGCACTGCCCCGTCCACCACCATCCGCACCATCGTTGCCGTGTCTGTGGTCATTGTTGCAGCCACTGTGTCAGTCCGTCCTGTTGCGGCTCTTCCTCCTTTCCACGGACCCTCTACTTTACCAACTGTGATGTCCTTCTCCAGGGACGGGTGCCTCTTGAGCCCATGTCCAAAGTCCATGAGAAGAAGTCTCACCAGGCTCTCCCTTAAGGAGCATTCTGGCAGGACCTCTTCTCCCAAATCATAAGACTCAGATAAAATTTAATTTTGCCTGTCAGCCCACACCCTTCAATGGCTTCCCAATCCGCAGAGAATAAAACCAAGCTCTTTTTTTGTAGCCTACAAGATCTGTGTGATCTGGTGTGTGGATACCTTCTCCTTCTCCCCTTGCTAATTTTCTTAATAGTAATTGGGAGTCTGTGTGATTTTTCAGAAAGTTTCTTAATCTCTCTGTAACTGTTTCCTTATCAGCATATTGTAGTGATAAAATGATACCTAAAGTCTCCGGTGGATACTGATGTGGGCATTATAAGATAAGCACTGGGCTGTTAACTACAAGTTTAGTGGTGTCTGACAGAGATCAGGAAATTCTTAATAACTATAAAATGCCATTTTTACATTTCTTTAATAGATACAAGGAGCCCTGGTGGCACTGTAGGATAGGCACTGGATTGCTAACTGCAAGGTAGGCAGTTCAAACCCACCAGCCACTCTGTGGGAGAAAGATGAGGCTTTCTTCTTCCAAAAAGATTTACAGTCTTGGAAACCTTATGCAGGATCACTTTGAGTCAGAATTGACTCCGTGACCGTGGACTTGGGTTTTGGGTTTAATAAGTGCAGATAATTCAAGGGTTCTCCCAAAAGATGGGCAGGCCTGTGAATCTGTTTTCCTGTTTTGGGACAGGAAAATCAAGGTTATAAAGTCCTTTCTCTTAAATCAATCTCTTTATCAGAGCATGTGACCTGACTCCATGACATGGGGATTTGCCTTGGGCTCAGACTTACCTGAGTTCACTAGGTCATATGTGAGTGTCTTCTTGTGATGTCTCTAGGATTGATGCTACCCAGTGCTCATAGTGTCAGCCGCCTCATGGACCCCCTCCCACACCAGAGCATATAGAATACTTAGTAATGCTTATCAACAGTTTTAATCATAGAATAATATGTGATCAATATAGTTGTAAATTGCATAATGTAATTTTTAGATTTTGTAAGTATGAACAATAAAACTCTTGTAGTATCTACATTTGAATGCAAGCCATGGTATTTTCAGTAATTTCACATGCATGTGAAAGCTGGACAGTGAGTAAGGAAGACTGTAGAAGAACTGATGCTTTTGAGTTATGGTGTTGGAGGAGAATATTGAAAGTGCCATGGGCTGCCAAAAGAACCAATAGATCCATTTTGTAAGAAGTGCAGTCAGAGAGCTCCTTGGAGGCCAAGATGGCCTAACTTCGTCTCTCATACTTTGGACATACTGTCAAGAGGGACCAGTTGCTGGAGAAAGATATCATGTTTGGTAAGGTGGAGGGTCAGAGAAAAAGAGAAAGACCCCCAAGGAGATGGATTGGCCAAGTGGCAGCATCGATGAACTCAAGCGTGGCAAGAGTAATGAGGTTGGCCCAGGATCAGGCAGTGTTTCGTTCTGCTGTGCATGGGGTTGCTTTGAGTTGGTACCAACTCGATGGCACCTAACAACAACAACATCGAATACCAACATTATAAGTTACATTATTGCTAAACAGAAGCCTTTTTTTGAATCTTCTTTTCCTTTAATTACTATTTCATTTTCAGCAAAGTTATTGATTGTTGTTGTTGTCAGGTGCCATCGAGTCAGAACCGACTCATAGCGACCCCATGCACAGCAGAACGAAACAATGTCCGGTCCTGGGCCAACCTCACTACCGCTGC